TGACTTCGTTGGCAGCGATTTGTATTCTTTGCCACAACTCTTCACACGAGCCAATAGATTCTTTGTAAACTATATCTTTCATTCGAGACCAAATAGAAAAATCAAGAGGATTGAAGTCCGGACTTCTGGATGGCCAAGCAAAAATGCTTACATGGCCATCCCAGCGATTTGGAAAAACTACATCTAAGTATGCACGCACTGGCCGAGAAAAATGCGGTGTAGCTCCGTCGTGCATGAACCACATGTCTCTTCTTAAATAAAGTGGAACTTCTTCAAGCCGTGGAAGCATTTTTGTTTGGCCACCCAGAAGTCTGGACTTCAATCCGCTTCATTTTTCTATTTGGAAGAATCTATTGGTTCATGTGAAGAGTTGTGGCAAAGAATACAAATCGCTGCCAACGAAGTCAAACGCAATCCCGATATGTTGCTTCAAACTCGAAAATCTCTCAGAAAACGTTGTATAAAGTGTGTAAATGTCAACGGTGGATTCTTCGAACACTGACTAAATCATTATTACGAATTTCATTTGTTTTATAGTTAATTGTTGTAATAACTTGAAGAAACACTTGGTTTGTTTCGCTTTTAATTTCTTATATTATCAAAACATAGTGTTCGTTAAATCGATTTTTCTCGAAAACAGATGAAACGAAATGAAACAAGAATACACAATTAATGGAAAAATGATTGCTCTTTCAGGTTTTGAATCAAGTTTCATGTTAGACATACAGGGTAAAAAGTTATTAACTAAATTTTCGGTTTTCACAAATTTTCAAGTTCCTAATCTACATATTTTCAGAATAAACGCAAAAAAACGATTTAAAATTTTAACTTTCAACACCCTGTATTTCCGAAACTATCAACTTTCGGATAAGGCATGTTTGCGCCAATGGTCACCATTTCACGTGTAGTATCTTCAGCTTTCGATTTTCCCATTGTTAATGAATCACCCTGTATAGACCTACATATACAAGTATACACTCATATACATTCATATAACAATCTCTTGTGATACATAAAACATTATAAAGTTATATAGTTATATAATCCGACTGTGTAACAATCTGTTCTCTAACTGCAATCACTGGAGTATTGTTCATATACTTTACATACAGATTGGATTCACACTGCTCCAGTCTTAAGTATAATTCACCTTGAATTTTTTTTAAATATTCTCTTTGCATTAACGTGAGGTCCAGCAAGACAAATACCTTATTTTCCAGCGATTTTAGGTTAGTTTTATGTCTGATAGCTTTTAAAGCTTCCTCATGACTGGACAGAAACAACTTAAGTGCTGTTCGATGGGTTTCCCTGTATTTTCCCTGTCTACGTGTATTTAACTCCTCAGAATTTACATTTAGTTTTATCAATTTCGAAGGCATCTTCAAGATCGCCAATTCTTCTTCCGATCTATGGCTCTCATTAGTGGTGTCACTATCGTTTAGATTATACAAAATAATATTTTTTGAGCATTTTTCCCGCTCTACTATTTCATTTATTATGATGTTTTGATAATTTTCAGAATCTTACGGGTACTTGATTAGTAGCTTGCTTTAAGTTCTTTATTTGTTCTTTTAATTTTGTTACAATATTAGTAAGTTGCTTTACTTCTTTTACTAAATCAATTGTTGTTGTCAATTTACAATTACTACAAATATATGATATTAATAATAATAATAATAATAATAGTAATAATAATAATAAATCTTTATTCATGTAAGTCTGTCACAGGATATGAAACGTCATAAATTATTCTAACATACATAAGACAAACCAAATTAGAAAAAATACAGCATTATACATATATACACATAAAAAACGAACAATTTACCTTGACACAGGAAAATCATAAAATTCCTGTAACGAATAAAAACAGTTGCCGATAAGGAAAGAACGTAATTCTTTTTTGAATAGCCTAATATTTGTATGATCCTTAATGTGACGGGGTAATTTATTGAAAATTGTTCCACATAAATAAAGCGGCCCCTTCTGAAATGTTGTTAAGTTATGAGTATTTAAATAAATTAAATTGTTCCCACGTGTATTATACGCGTGCACATTGTTATGTTGTTTAAAAAAATGAGGATGGCTTTTAACAAATACGGCAGCTTCGTATATCAATATACACGGTAAAGAAAAAATTTTATATTGTATAAATGATGTTCGACAAGATTGTACCGGATTGAGACCTAGAATCAATCTTATGATTTTCTTCTGGCAAATGAAAATTCTATTAAATTCCGCGCTAGTCCCCCAGTAAATTATCAAATATTTTAAATGGGTATAAGCTAATGCAAAATAAATATTTAAAAGATAATGTTTATCCATTATATTTCTCAGATTTCTGATCACATAATAGGCAGTATTTAATTTCTTTACGAGATGACCAATATGAGTCGACCAAGTAAGCTGCTCGTCAATGAAAAGTCCTAAGAATTTTGTGTGTTGTACTTTTTCAATCATTGTATTATTTAATGACACTACTACATTAGGGCATATTCTTTTTTTAAAGAATGTAATGTAATGAGTTTTTGTTGGATTGATAATCAGATTATTTTTAGTACACCACGTATAAAATTGTTCAAGTGCGGCATTTACTTTCGCTTGAAGCTCGTCAGCAGATGAGGCACTAATACATATTGTACTGTCATCTGCGTAAAGAATCAAAGTGGTATCTTCGACAGTTATATGTTGTTCTAAATCATTGATGAACAATATAAATAGTAGGGGAGATAAGACACTCCCCTGGGGAACCCCCAATGGAATCTTAGAAGAATGGGATATGTTGTTGCCAATTTTCACATTTATTTCCCTGTCAGTTAGGAAAGAGTGAACCCAGTTGTCAATTGGATACCTTAAACCCATTTTTTTAAGTTTATCAACCATAAAATCTTTATGAATGCAGTCGAAAGCTCGTGTTAAATCAAAGAAGAGAACTAACACGAAATTACCTTTATCGATTGAATTGACAATGTTATTAACTAACGAAAACGAGGCCGTATTTGTTGAAAATTTTGGTCTAAAACCGTGTTGGCTGTTACATAATAAATTTTGTTTAATAGTGAAGTTAAAAATTCGACAGTGACAAATTTTTTCGAACAACTTAGAAAAGCTAGATAATAAAGCTATGGGTCTATAATTGTCGATGCAATCGGTTTCTCCTTTTTTGTATAATGGAATTATATTGGCTAATTTAAATGCATTAGGAAAGACTCCAGATCTGACTGATAAATTAAAAATGTAACACAACGGATTAACAAGGAACTGAGAAATATACTTTATAACCTTAATTGGAATGCCATCTGGCCCACTTGATGATTTATTTTGCATTGTATTAAGAATGTTTTCAATTTCAAACGGTGTGATGTCATAGAAAAAAATAGAAGAGGGACATTCCACTCCAGTAGAACAATCTCCACTTAATACAGGATATGTGTTACTTAAAGTTTTGGTTGCTATTTCCGCAAAATAAGAACAAAAAACATTTCCAATCCTTGTCTTATCCTAGTCTTGGACTTTAAACAATCAATCAATGTGATAAGGTTTTTCACATGCATTGCATTTTATTTCCTTATCAGCAGATATTTCATTTTTTTTTACTTGTAAAACAATGCGGCATTGTAATTGTAGGAATTTATCGAAGTAAGAAAGAAAAAAGAAGGTAGTAAAAAACTTACTGGCGATAATAAATTTACACTTCTGGAATCTCCAAGCCAAACTAGTATCTATAAACCTGTTGATTTATGCATCCTTAGATTTGTTGTAACTTCTGATATATGGCTTATGTATAGATATTATTATAAACTAGCAACACAAAACTGAATATTATTTCCAACCAGAAACACTAGCACTTAACGTCGTCGGCTAAAATTTGCCCTAATTTTTTTGCTTGTAGAAATTTTGACCCAAATTTTTTACATTTTGCTATTTTCAAATTTAGATCTGAGTTTGGTAATGTTGTTTCATAACCGTTTTCGAGAAAAATTGGGGAAATGAAGGTCTATCATATGTTGGCCTCTCATTTTGAAAATTTCGACAAGCAAAAAAATTGGGGCATATTTTAGCCGACGACCTCCCAATTGAGACGCCCTTGATCAAAATTTTTTTAAAATTTTATGATGATCTATTTCGACTTTTAATGAGCGTTCATGGTGTCAAAATTCATAATTTTCCTTCAACCCATTTCTGAACTATTTAAAAAAAAATAATTTTTTGAGGTCCCAATTATGGGGGCGTAGCTCCCTTAGGATTTCTCGACCAATATTTATATGAAAAAATATTCTTATTTTTGGCAATCAAGTGGTAAATTATTGGACACTAATTATGAGACACCCTGTATATATATATATTGGAGAAATATGAATAAGTTTGTGATTTCTGCGAATTAGTAGCAATAAGATTATTTATAAACTATTGCGGTTGTCAAATCTGTTTAAATATGTTGTACTAAAAATTTTAATTTTTTTATCACTCCAAGTGAGAAATTGTTATAATATGCTTTAATTTATGTATTAATATTACTAATCCTGTTCAATAACAGCATCATTTTAAAAAATGTTGTGCATATTGCTGAATGATAATCACTTTTATGTAATAGATTAACAGAACGTGAACGAAAGGAGCGACAGCATAAAAAGGACTTATTACGATTAGCACAAGAACATGAAAAGGCAAGGGAATTAGAGCGTGTGCAAAGGTATCATATGCCCAGAGATTTAGGTAAAGATGCTACTTCAGATTATGTTGAAGTGGATGAACTGGAGAAGGCACCTCAATCTGAACAAAAGAAATGGGAAAAAGACCAAATGGCATCAGCCGTTTTCAAATTTGGTGCGAAAGATGCTATTAAAAAAAAGGAATATGAATTACTTCTGGAAGATCAAATACAATTTATTCAGGCCCTACAAATGCCAGGTAATAAATGTGAATTCATTTATTTTAAAAAAAGTGACTTAGGGCTAGTTTCCATATATTTCCTTTAATTTTATATAATATTCAAATGTCTAGAAGAATTAACATATTCATAAAGCCAGGGAGTAATTAATTTTTTAGTGTCAAAAAAAAAAGAAATGATTGAGCAGTTGGTTTTTTATTTGATGGGAACATCCTTGATGCAAAAACTTAAATTCCAGTGTCAGCGCTGTCTATGTGATAATTATAGCACTAAATAGCAAAAGGTGTCAAGACATAACTTACCTGAAAAGGTTTAATTACCTATTCAATGATGTAGTAAATCTAAATGTAGAATATATTTTTAAATTGTTTCTTGAGCAAAAAAAATATTTACATTGTCATTAATTTAGTACAAAAGGTGTTTTAAATATTCAGTTAATTTTTTGCTAAAAATAAATCGTTTTATACTATTTATTGCATAATTTTTAAATCAAAAATTGGCTTCTCCAAGCTTTATTTTCATAGGAATGTTTCAAATTGGAAGTGAAAGTGTTACTATCTTAGAAATCATCAGAGATAATCAAAGTTTGCATTTTATCTTTTCTGAATTTATTTAAAAATTACACAAAAACACTTTTCCAAAGCCATTTTTGCTTCTCTTTTTGAATGAGTAATCAGATTTTCATTACATTTCATTTTTTAATAACCATAATTTATTTATTTATTTTTTTTCTAAATACAAACCTATATCTGCTACTGGATTCCTTATTCTGAATCCGATAATGTTATATGCTACTGTTTAATGACATTTCGGACTGAACAATTCTTATCATTTTATTTTTTCTTTGCATTTTTTTTCTATGCTAAAAATAGACAATGACAATCTCAAAGGCACTCACAAAGGATGGTTTCACATATCAGATTATGTAAATAATCCGAATTATAGAACCTGGACTGCACAAAATCCAGTTTACAATCCTTAAAAGTGGGTAGCGATATCAAGAATATGTATAATAAGGCCTATATTTTTCTTGATATTAAACTTCCAAGATATCGAACCCTTATTTTAGAGCCATTTTTAGCATGATTACTTGATGATGAGTTGCAAGTAGGGTACTTTCGACAAGATGGGGCAACTGCACGTACTGTAAGAGGAACAAGTCAATTTTTGGAAACATTTTATGATAATCTGATTAGATTGTGGTCAACAAGGTCACCAATTATTTGAGAAATTAACAATATAACAGAACAACTGCAAAATGTGTATGAAAATATACACGGGAATTTTGTGCATAGATAGTAAAGCACGCCATATTGAACATAATACATAATTACATGCAATGTTTTTACTGCTAATATGCTAATAGCTTACTAATTTCTGATTCTGAATTTATTTTATATTGCAGTGAAATCATGTTATTAAAGGTTTGTAAATTAATGTAACTTTTTTAATGTTATTTTAACTATAAAAAAAAATTGATGGGTTCACATCTTGTTCTTTTTGTTTTCTAGTAAAAATTAGCAATTTTAACAAAAACAAAATAATTTTTCTCAATCATATGTATTAAATTTAATATGAACTGTTCATGTTAATCAGTTTCGAAAACAATTTTATTTAATGAGATCTAACCCCTTCAACCACCCCACTGTGGCTTATAATCATTTATGAAGGCTCTGTATTACATATTTCCTACAATCCATTAACTACTTAATCTAAAATTTTGAGAAATCTGCTCTGGACTCTTTCATAACCAGCATCAATGTTGATACATTGTGTAAGACAATGTAAGTTATGAATGCAGTACAGAAAAAGTAGCATTCATATACAAAATTTTGAGATACATATACTTATTACTTACAAAAATAATATATGGTTAGAATAAATACCAAAAAACCAATACAACAGAATAAGTTATACTCTTATGTCCTTCTTAAGCCCACATATTCCATATTTGCACCTGATGAAAAGCGTACATTTTTAAATCTGTTGAAATCTCCTATCTCCTTCTTGCACAAGAGTCTTCAATTGAAGAGTGTGAATATGTATTTTTTTACTAGTATGCATGTTTTTCTGTGTGAGATTTTCGGTCAGTCAAAAAAAAGTTTAATAAATACAACCATTGACTAATCCTTTTTGCACTTCATTTACACGTAAACAGACAATCTGTAGATATATTTTTTACTTACATCAATTTAAAACAATGAATAACATATTTAACAAATTACCTATATAATCATAAACTCAAGTTATAAGTTAATAAGATCAAAATATCATAAATTAAACTATAATTTATGTGCATAAATCAAACCAAAATTTTCTTGATTTGTCAGGAATTATTTTGATCATTTGCAACTGATTGGAAATTAGTCTGTTGCTTTATATGAGCCCTAAATTTATTGTCAGCATTGGTCACTTGTTATTCTTCGAACAACTTTTTTGTAAGAATTCATATTCATATACTTGATGGTTTTTGATAGTTTCTAATCATCTTTAGAATAAAGTTAGTAATAATAATTTAAAATAATATAATATGCTTAAGAAAGCAGAGATATGACTTATACATAATATACTCTTTTTTAATAATCAAATTGCTTCATTTAAATTAATAATAATTACTTAAACTGTTCTTATTTCCGAAATAAATTAAAATATAAGATTTAAGGTAGTTATCACCTATTTGAGATAATTACGAAATTTTCGGTATATGTAATTAATTATGCACCTGATAGATACTTTTGCAAAATTTCAGCACATTTTACCACATAGTTTCTGAGTTGTACTTAATCAAGGTTGACTATGTTTATCATGGGCTTAATGGTATCACCTTGAAAAATGTTGTTACGATGAAAACTTTGCTGTAGGCAAGACTAATTTGTTTAGAAATATGTTATATACAGGGTGTTTCAGAAAGACCTCCCATAAATTCAGGGGGTGATAGTACGACAAAAAATAAGAATTTTTTGTCTTATGAACTATATGTCTATCTCCTCTTGTTTTTGAGATATAGAGTGACAAAATAAAATTTTTTAAATAGAATTTTTACGAGAATATCCAAATGGTGCGAAATATTTTTATGAAATTTGGTATTCCGGGGTTTTTAAGGACGCCAAATATGCTGGTCTAATTATTTTTTGGATATTTCATAGAGGGCGCTAGTTATGCTACATTCCCATTACATTTTAGGTTCAAATTTTTTTAAAGTTAGGTTTTTTAACATTCGGGCTCCAATTTCTAATGTACAATTTTATTCTCTAAAAATAATGTACTCTTGTTAGAACTTCCTAATGTGGACGGTTTTTGAGAAAAAATACTTTTAATTGAACTGTTACAATATTACGGTGAAGAAAATAAATGACTTTTCTCAAAGTAGGCTTATGTCAAAACTTATTGATGGATGTCTCATAAACAACGCATACATTCTCAGTAAAATTTTAAACTCTAATTAATTTGGCGTATTTGGCGTCCTTAAAAACCCCGGAATACCAAATTTCATACAAATATTTCGCACCGTTTGGAAATTTTCGTAAAAAATCTATTTAAAAAATTTTATTTTGTCGTTCTGTATCTTGAAAACAAAAGGAGATAGACATATAGTTCATAAGACAAAGAATTCTTATTTTTTGTCATACTATCACCCCCTGAATTTACGGGAGGTCTTTCCGAAACACCCAGTATAACAATCTGGAAAGGATTGACCAGCTAAGATTAAAGATATTAATACTCAAACTTTTAACTTTTTCCTATGATTATTAGTCACATAAATGAAACGTAGCAACGTCTCGCACTGAAGAAAGGTTAGTTTGCTCGCGTGCTGACATTCTACAAAATTTTAAAATAAAACATTTTTCATTTCAGTTTTTTGTTTAAAGGAACTAATAAAATAAATCAAACAATAAAGACGATTCATGCAAATTTTTAAAAAAATTTACCAAACGATTGTAATGCATCCACTATATTTAACAATAACCTAAGTTAACCTTATGCCCTGTAAATATAAATTTCCATCATCTCCAGTTGTCAAACTACGTGACTCGAATATGAGACTTGCTGACAGTTTTCTACTTGAACTCTGTGCTCTGGTTGTAACCACCTTAAATTTTTTCTCTAAATGAAAACACTTGTAGTATGACACATGCAAATGTTTTATTTATTTATCTTAATAGGTTCAACAGAAAAGAAAGAACCAGAATTGACAGAAACAGAAAAAAAGAAGCTTAGTATTGAGGAAACTAAAAAAAGTTTACCTGTTTATCCATTTAGAGACGATCTAATTCAAGCTGTTCGTGAACATCAAGTTTTAATAATTGAAGGAGAGACTGGTTCAGGGAAAACTACACAAATCCCCCAATACTTACACGAAGCTGGCTTTACAGAAAATAGTAAGCATTAACAGTATAAATATATTTCAAAATAACCGCAATAATAAAAAAGTACATAGAATATATTTTTCTTTTAGCTAAAAGTGTATGAGAAAAAAAAATCAAGCTCAATTCACATTAAAAATTAAGGACCTAAGTCCTTCACGCTATCACATCTTATAATTGTAAAATCAATAACTAATGATATTCATACGACTTTTTTTTCTACAAAATGAAACTACGTTACATTTGTTAATATTTTGTTTTGGTTGGCTTGATTCTGTAAATGTTCTTCATGAGTTTTAATTTTTGAATATATCCTCATCCTCAAAAAAGAAGTTTACACCAAGGGATAATGTTGGATAAATCATTAATAAATAGAAGAAATAACAAGGGTCTTAAATTAGATTCCTGAGGGACACCAGATCAAATCTAAACTAATTAAAACCCTCGTACCACTGCTGTCTGTTTTGCAGATTTAATGAATATTTTTTCTATTAGAATTTTTTTTTAGGTAAAAAGATTGGGTGCACGCAACCAAGAAGAGTGGCTGCAATGTCTGTAGCTTCTAGAGTTGCTCAAGAAATGGGTGTTAAGTTAGGAAATGAAGTTGGATATGCTATTAGATTTGAGGATTGTACATCAGAACGTACAGTTATAAAATATATGACAGATGGTACATTACATAGAGAATTTTTATCAGAACCCGATTTACAGTCTTATAGTGTTATGATAATTGATGAAGCCCACGAACGTACACTACATACTGACATCTTATTTGGTTTAGTTAAAGACATTGCAAGATTTCGACCGGACCTTAAATTATTAATATCCAGTGCTACACTTGACGCTCAAAAGTTTTCAAACTTCTTTGATGATGCACCAATTTTTCGTATACCTGGAAGAAGGTTTCCTGTTGACATATATTACACTCGTGCTCCTGAAGCGGATTATGTAGATGCGTGTGTTGTTTCAGTATTACAAATACATGTGACACAACCATTGGGTGATATATTAGTATTTTTAACAGGTCAGGATGAGATTGAAACTTGCCAAGAACTATTACAGGATCGTATAAGACGGTTAGGATCGAAAGTGAAAGAACTCATAATTTTACCAGTTTATGCTAATCTTCCTAGTGATATGCAAGCAAAAATTTTTGAACCTACTCCACATGGTGCAAGGAAAGTTGTTTTAGCAACAAACATTGCAGAAACGTCACTTACCATAGATAATATAATTTATGTAATTGATCCAGGTTTTGCAAAACAAAACCATTTCAATTCTCGAACTGGTATGGAAAGTTTAATGGTTGTGCCTATTTCAAAAGCATCTGCCAATCAAAGGGCAGGTAGGGCAGGCCGTATTGCAGCAGGAAAATGTTTTAGATTGTATACTGCTTGGTCTTACAAGCATGAATTAGAAGACAATACAGTACCTGAAATTCAGAGAATAAATTTGGGAAATGCAGTTTTAATGTTGAAGGCACTGGGAATTAATGATTTGGTGCATTTTGATTTTTTAGACCCACCACCACATGAAACTCTAGTATTAGCTTTAGAACAACTTTACGCCTTGGGTGCCTTAAATCATCATGGAGAACTCACTAAATTAGGCAGAAGAATGGCAGAATTCCCAGTAGATCCTATGATGGCTAAGATGTTAATTGCTTCAGAAAAGTAAGTATTTTATATACAGGTTTTAATTCCTGAGAATATTTGATATAGACTTATGGATTTTGGATTAGTGATATACTGAGGGGGTGCTTGCATCAGAAATATAAAATATTTTCATAGAAAAATGTGTTAGATTACCAGAAATATACCATCATTGGCATACAAAATACAAAATATTGACATCATTTTAATTACGTAAATGTTAAACCATTGTGTTTAGACCAAAATAGTGTCGTAGATCTAAAGCAAATATTTGAAATAAATGTGATATTTTTCAAAAATATCACGTACTTGAAAATCCAGTGCCTGGATCATCATTGTTTAATAGAACAAAGTTTAAAACAGTACTACAAAATCATCTTAAAATTGGTACGTAGGAAACACCCCCAATATTTTGCAGTTAAATTGTTTGTAGATAATTTACAAAAATACAGAGTTGGGAAAAAATTGATCAAATTTAACACAAATATTCTATTTACGCATATAATAATTTAGTTTCTTAGCCATTGAAGGGATAACAGCAATTTTGTTGATAAAACACGTGCGTCGAATATCGATGTGAATTTACCATTACTAGCTCACTAAATGTACTGGAAGTAGTTTAAAGTAAGTTCATTTGTGGTTGAACACTATTTGACCGTTAATGTCAACAATGACTTCAATGGCCAATTTATATGCCGCAGTTCTTGGTGTTTGCTGGGTAGTTTATATTCATTAGTACATGTTAAATATGTAGTACTACGATACCATAAATGATCTGTTTCTATTTACAATTTTTTTCTCTCTTATCATTTGAGTACCTACAATTCATTGGAGGTGTTAATAATTTTTAATGTTTTTATTTGCATGTGATGACGGATGTCACAGCTTTCTTTGATGTGTTATCCTTGGTAGTAGTTTTATAGATAATTCAATGTTACAAAGGCAAATATGATAGTGGACCGTATGTATGTATTTACATGAATGATGTAATATGAACACTCAAAAAAAAATTATATCAATGCCACAACTTACTAGTGTCTTCTGTTCAGCTTCCAATGGTAGATTAACAAGTTTTCAATGCACAAGACAGTAGCAGAAAAATACAACCGGGCCTAGTACTCACATGACAAGTTTATAGTCGAATAACTGATTTCTTGAGTTCTTCCATTTGGGACAGTTATGACAAAATTTATTTATTTGGGTGATTTCTATGCGCCAAAACAAAAAAACAAAAAGTGATAAAAAATGAATATAAGCAAATAATTAAGTTTTACTGTTTTACTAATAATTAAAATAATAAAAACCAACTAGCTATTTAAACTATCTTAAACATGAGTTGACAAAGTATGACATATTTCATAAATACAAAGTAGAATACACTAGAGGATATAAATTTATATTTTCCAAGAGACAAAAAAAAAAAGACATTTTTATCAAGGTGGCTATGAAAAAGTGGTTCTCACACAACCCATTTGTTTGTGAGATTAAAGTAAAGTAAATAAGAGTCATCAATGGCCAAAATTGTGTACTAAATTTGATAGTGATACTTCAATTTGTTTAGAAGATATTTAAGGAGGTTTATCGGGTGCGGAGGTACGTTTAAAGTCTAACGAGAGTTTCTGTAGATTTGCTAGTGACTAAAGTAGTAAGCCTTTAGATTTGGCAACGTTGCACTTGACTGGCTTTGTTTGGATGCCTAAATTTGAAATATACATCATATGTCACACCTGCGAATTTCAAATAATATGCTTCTTTGAGAACCGTGGCATTGCCGCTATCACGCATATGGAGGTTAAGTTAGTCAATGAAAGCAGTTTGAAGGAGAATTATTATAAATTATGTATCTTACAAGTACCTAATCGATTTCTACGAGTTGTCATATGGTTTCCTATTTATACAAGTTGCTGTGGAAACTGTTCGTCAATTGTTGCGCATTCTAAGTGGAAAGACCAAAAAAATCAGCATTCTCATAAGACTGTGTACTAAATCGTGAAAAATTATTTTATTAATATCTCGTCCCTTAGGTATCCAAACTAGTCATAATTTTTTTTGAGGATTTTCTTCATATTAATAAGCTTATATTAATTTTTTTATGAATATTTGTTCATCAATTCCAAATCAGATAAACCTCCTTAAGAAAAGCCATTGTGAACAGGTCATCTTCAAGTTGATATATCATATAAGGAATCAGAATTGACGTTTTGTGTTAATTTTTACCAATCCATGTACAAATTTGGCAATCGAATTCAAGGACACCCTGAATACTATAGCCTATGGTTATCTTATTTACAGTTTTTGATACAAGATTCTTTTATAAAAAAATTTTGTCTCTTAAAATTTAGTTATCTGATTTGGATTATGAGTAAAACAACACTTATAAAGAAATATGGAATGTTTCAGAATTCAATTAGAGGAGTGATTCTACCCATAAAACTAAGGAAAAAAGTTTATATAAACATACTTCATAAGGTTTATCTTATTGTTGTTTACTTTACCCCTAGATATGACATTTTTTATATACTGGACCTCTTCCAGCCAGTCATCTCTGACATTATTGATACGTATCCTAACCTACCCTTTTATTATTGGTGGCGATTTTAATTGCCCCATTATGGGGATACACCTCCAGCAGCTTTAGCATCTTCAAATCTTTTTAAGGAGAAGTCCAGTTGATCAAGTCATAAATGTGAGAGCGATGCCTTCTCAATTTTGTGCAGCACAATTATTTTTCTTTACTCAATGGTAGAGTTTGCTTGTCAGTAGTTGCCAAATAATTGTAATAACTGTCGGTACCATATCACATTATAACTAAAAACCAAGAAATTCCAAATTTTATTAATAAGATTTTGTAAATGTTTGAATGTTTTACGAGAAGAATCTTTACCAATTTTCATAATCTAGCCTAAAAAATGTTTGTTAGCCGAAGTAAAAGCATTTGAAGAAAATTTAAGGTAAATGTGTGGATGGGGATTATACAAAAGATTGTTTGGGTCCCTATATTTTGCCGGAAAAATCAAGTAGAATTGCCGACATTCCTAGAAGCAAATCATGCCAATTTTATAGAAAATGTCTCTTTAAATATCAAGAGAGATTCTTACTTTGGGTAAATGATTGCCCTGACTATTACCATTGAGAGTAAGGAACTGGTTAAATACCAACTATCCCAATGAATGGATAAGCAGAGGGGTCCTGTACCATAGCCTCAACGTCACCCAACTTGATTACTTTAGCATATGAAGCAGTAAATACAAGGGTGGAATTAATACAACGTATTCAAAATGCTACTGCATCCATTACGTCAGTGCATTTATCAATTTCAAGTTCTTACATCCCGAAGAATGACTCATCAATTCAGACAGGCCCCGGCAACGTCCACCAGCTTTTACACACACACATTTAGGATGTCGTAAAATTTTCCATTTTTAATTGGCCAATGTAATTTAAAAATTTGCTGCGTATGTATTTTTATTTGGTGATTTATTTTAGATATAAATGTTCTGAAGAAATGGTTACAATAGCTGCCATGTTATCAGTAAATGGTGCCATATTTTATAGACCAAAAGATAAAATTATACATGCTGATACTGCTAGAAAGAATTTTAATCACACTGGTGGAGATCATTTAAGTTTATTAAATGTTTATAATCAGTGGAGAGATTCTGATTATTCGACACAATGGTGTTATGAAAATTTTATCCAATACAGGTATGTAATCGTATTTGTTTTTTTAATATTTTTTATGCTTGTTTATAAATAACAATGTTTATATGACACAATTTTTATTGAAATTGTTAGTAAATAAATTCCAAACAATTGTTCAACATTCAAATTTTTACTAGATGATAATGTAAATTGAATTAATACAGTGTGTTTCGAAATAACAATTCATCATCATTGTTCAAACCTAAATGATATAAAATAACTTAAATAATTACTGATTTTTACTGTTGTAATATCTATTTCAAATCAACTGAATGAAATATCAAGCAAATACATGTATAAGTGCAACATGAATAAAATAAAACTTTTGAGTATTTTTATAAGTGGATAAGGAAGTAATTCTGTGAAGAAATAATCATTTATTCTTTGAGATGAAAAATAATTTATAAATTCATTACACATTGAAAATGTAGTTAATTTTATTTTTAATTTTTTCTGTTTTGCGATATGTTGAAATTGTATTCTGTTGTTTTTAATGGGAAGTAG